CCCCCCGCCCCCCCGCCCCCCCCGCCAGCCCCGGCCTCGCCAGCCCCGCCCCCCTCCTCGTCCGGTTCGGCTGGCGCGCGAGGGGCCACGGAACCTGTAGTGCGCTTGCTCCGGGCCGCACGCGCCGAGAAAACCGTGGGACCTCAGTCCCCGACCTACATTGCGCGCTGTCAGGGGCGGGGCGCGCGGGGTCCCCTGGGAGTTGTAGTCCCTTTCGCTCTCTCCTCGGGAGGGTGAGTCTGTGCGAGAGGGAACTCCACAACCGGCGAGTAACGGAAAGGACTGAGGAGAGGTGACAGGACGGAGGGGATGAGGAAGAGAAAGTCTCCAGAGGAGTTGCGGCTTCCGGGGAGGGAATGCCACAAACCTCTGGGGTGGAAAGAAGGGGAGGAATGAATGACTCGTTATCCTGACAGCGCGAATTTTCTCCCAGTGCACGTCGGCGATCACGTGAGCGGGCATTTAAAGGAAAAGCGGCGGCGTCACGTGAGGAGGGAGCACACTCCAGGCTTCAAGTGATTTGGTTTTTCTTTCTCTATGAAGTCGGGACCCTAACACTTTCCCTAACTTTAATGGCTCGTTTTTGGAAGGAATGAAGTAGGACCTTGTACGGTGTAGCGGTTTCTGGTACATTTTGGATTTCCAAGCTATAGCTGTCCCAAAAGAAGTTAGGTATGCCTAGGTAGAAATTTCAAGCCTGAGAAATTACACATAACCCTGAAAGAAGCCGAATCTTTTGACCTATTAGTGATGATAGGGAAATAACCTGAAAATCAGATATGTGTATTTGGCCAGAAGAATATTAATTATATTATGAATCCTTAAGTAATGGGATTTGGGGATGATTTTTACTTTGTATTGTCTGCATTACTTTTTTTTAAATTTTGGGCCAACAAATGGCATAAGGTCACTGGACTCCCACAGTAGTCAAGCACGGTTCAAGTCCCAGGCCTGGTGGCTTAAAACTCACACCAGGAACGCGTGTGTCCAAAATTCCCAAGGGATTAGGCATGGCCATCCCCCCCAGGGGGTGACTTCTCGCTTTCTCTCTCTCTCTGTCTCTCTCTCTCTCTCTCTCTCTCCAGTAAGCACACGCATCCTATAGTAAAAATCTCTAGAAAGTGCTTTTTAATTACATTATTTTAAAGAGTGTAAGCACAAAGATATATATAGCAATTTTTAATAATTATTTAATTAATTAATTAATTAATTTAAATTTGATCAGGGTGGGAATGAGAGAGAGAAAGAAGTAAAGTGAGAAAGCAAGCCACCAGGTCTGGGACTCAAACCACAGTAGCCCATGTGGGAGTCCAGTGCCCTTAACCACCGCGCCACCTGCTGGCCCCAGCCATTTATTTTTAATGAAAAGTAGTATCTGGAGGACCAGCAGGTGGCCTAGTGGTTAAGGCATGGACTCCCACATGGCTGACCATGATTTGAGTCCTAGACCTGGCAGCTTGAAAATCATGATGGGGGGACCAGCGGTTGGTGTAATGGCTATGTCGCTGGACTCCCATGTAGTCGACCACAGTTCAAGTCCCAGACCCCGTGGCTTAAACTCACATTGGGCGCGTGTATGCATACCCAAGATCCTGAGAGGAGAATGGAGGAGATGCTGATGATTTCTCACTTTCTGTCTATCTCTGTCTTTCTGGCAAGCAAATGTTCCCTATAGTTAAAAAAAAAAAAAAAAAAAGAAAGAAAATCATGCCTGGCCATCCTCTCTGGGAGGTGATTTCTTACTCTCTCTCTCAGTGTCTCTCTGCAAGCACACGTAGCCTATGGCAAAAATTGTAAGAAAGGGGGAAGGGGATCTGAAATTAATATCTACCAACAAGGGAATAGGTACAGCCTTTAAAAGTTATTTGGTAAGGGAACCAACAGATGGCGAGTGGTTACGTTGCTGGGCTTCCACATAGCTGACCACGGTTCAAGACCTGGACCCAGTGACTTGGAACTCACACTAGGCGTGTGTGCATGAGTGTTCAAGATCCCAGAAGGGGAATGGACAAGGGATTGCAGCATAGCCATCCCTTCTGGGAGGTGATTTCTTGCTTTCTGTCTCTCTGTATTTCTCTGTCTGTCTGGCAAGCACACCTGCTCTATAGCAAAAATGTCTCTTAAAAAAATATGTCTGCTGGGCTGGGAGGTGGTGTGGTGGTTAAGAGCGCTGGATTCCCATATAGCTGACCACGGTTCAAGTCCCGGACCTGGCAGCTTGCTTTCCCTTCCTCTCTCTCTCTGTCGCTGTCTGGTCAAATTGAAAAATAATAATAACAAATGGAATTAAATAAATAAAAATTTTAAAATATATGTCTGCTAAACTGTTGTTGTTTGTTTGTTTGTTTATAGATTTTTGGTATAGGGTGTGTGAACTCGCCCAAGAGACAGAAAGCAAGAAGTCATCCCCATGGGGAATGGCCACATAGCAACCCCTTCTCCTCCATTCTCAAGATTTGGGGCATGCTGCACATTTACCAGTATGAGCTTCAAGCTGAATCCAGGACTTGAACCACAGTCAGCCATGTGGGAGTCCAGAGACATAACCATTATACCATCTGCTAGTCCCATATTTTTTTTAATTCCTAAAGGCATGTATTCTCTCAGAGAGACAGAGAGGGAAGAGAGGGAGAAAGCATCCCCCGTAATGGAGTGTAATCAAACCAAAATTCCTTCTCCTCCATGTCGCCATCCTGTCAGGATTTAGGGTACACATGCTCAGGTGCCCAGGGATATTTTTCAAGCTTCCAGAGCCTGAAAGTCAACCATGTGAGATTTAGACCATTTGGGCCAGTCCCACCATGATTTTTTCTAATGATAAGAGGAAATAAATGCTTGTGATAAAAATATTAAGCTAAAATAGCACATTCCTTGAGATTTTATGTAACTAATACTTTTTTGGGGGGGGGGAGATTTTTGCTATAGTGCGCATGTGCTCACCAGAAAGACAGAGTCAGAGAGACAGAACGTAAGAAATCCCCTCCCGGGGGGATGGCCATGCCACAATCCCTTCTCCTCCATTCTCTCCGGATCTTGAGCATGCACACACACACGTGCCCAGTGTAAGTTTAAGCTACCAGATCCAGGACTCGAACCGCAATTGACAACATGGGGGTCCAGCGACATAGCCATTAGGCCAACTGCTGGTCCCAGTAACTAATACTTTTTTTTAAGAATTATTTTATTTTATTTATTAATTCATTTATTTTAATTTGACCAGAGAGAGACTGAGAGAGAGAGAGAAAGCAAGCCACCAGGTCCAGGACTTGAACCATGGTCAGTCATGTGGGAGTATCCAGCGCCTTAACCACCACGCCACCTGCTGGTCCCAGTAACTAATACTTTTTTTTTAATTTATTTAATTTTATTTATTCATTCATTTTTTTTCCCTTAATTTGACCAGAGAGTAGAGAGAACCACACACAAGAAAGAAAGTGAGAAAGCAAGCCACCAGGTCCGGGACTCGAACCGTGGCTGGCCATGTGGGAGTGTCCAGCACCTTAGCCACCACACCACCTGCTGGTCCCAGCTAATACTTTTTTTAAAACACATTTGGGGCCAGCAGATAGTGTAATGGTTATGTTGCTAGACTCTACATGGTTGACTGCAGTTCAAGTCCCAGACCTGGAGGCTTGAAAATCACACCAGGCACATGTGCATGCGTTCCCAAGATCCCAGGAGGAAAATGGAGAAGAGATTGCAATGTGGCCATCTGCCCTAGGGGGTTGGTGATTTCTCACTTCCCTTCTCACTGTGTCTGTTTCTCTCTCTTTGCCTCTCTCTCTCTCTCTCTCACCAGCACACATGCCCTAAGGCAAAATCCTCTTAACACACACACACACACACACACACACACACACACACACACACACACACACACACACACACACACACAAAATACAGTTGACACTGGTGAC